TTAAGGAATCCATTTTAAAGCACTTGGAAGAGAGGAAAGTGATCAGGAATAGTCAGCATGGATTCACAAAGGGCAAGTTGTGCCTGATCAATCTGATTAGCTTCTATGATGAGGTAACTGGCTCTGTGGACATGGGTAAGTCAGTGGATGTGATATACCTTGACTTTAGCAAGGCTTTTGATACGGTCTCCCACAATATTCTTGCCAGCAAATTAAGGGACTGTGGATTGGATAAATGGATGGTAAGATGGATAGATTTCCCTAGGAGAGTGGTGAAGCACTGGAATGGGTTACCTAGGGAAGTAGTGGAGTCTCCATCCCTAGAAGTGTTTAAGTCTCGGCTTGACAAAGTCCTGGCTGGGTTGATTTAGTTGGGATTGGTCCTGCCTTCTGAGGTCTCTTCCAGCTCTATGGTTCTATGACCTTAACTGCTGTTTACTTTTTTGTTTTCTTCCCTTTAGACAAATACAGCAGGTGTTGTTTTAAAGGACAATACATTTGCCATCTTAATTTTGAAATTACCTAAGGAGGTTCTTCAAAATTGAACACATCACTTTATGCTCTTAAGTAAAAAACGGCTTAAAGAAATTTCCTGGGGACTTTTTGAAGGTGCTTTTTATTTTTCCCTGAGGTGCCTACTTGTCTCACTGCTCTGAAGAACCCTTCTATTGTTTACATACTCGGGGTCTAACTCAGAGCTACTCAACATGCGGCCCACAGTGCAGTTTGGATTTACACACCACCCACGAGGAGGATCCTCTGAACAAGCTAAATATGAGTCAGTGTGATGCTGTTGCAAAAAAAAGCCAACATGATTCTAGGATGCATTAACAGGTGTGTTGTGAGCAAGACACGAGAAGTCATTCTTCAGCTCTAATCTGCACTGATTAGGCCTCAGTTGGAGTATTGTGTCCAGTTCTGGGCACCACATTTCAAGAAAGACGTGGAAAAACTGGAGAAGGTCCAGAGAAGAGCAACAAGAATGATTAAATGTCTAGAGAACATGACCTAAGAGGGAAGATTGAAAGAACTGGTTCCGTTTAGTTTGGAAAAGAGAAGATTGAGGGGGGAAATTATAGCGGCTTTCAGATATCTAAAAGGGTGTCACAAGGAGAAGGGAGAAAAATTGTTCCTCTTGGTTTCTGAGGACAGGACAAGGAGTAATGGGCTTAAAGTGCAGCAAGGGAGGTTCAGATTGGACATTAGGAAAAAATTCCTAACTGTCAGGGTGGTCAAATATTGGAATAAATTGCCAAGGGAGGTGGTGGAATCTCCCTCTCTGGAGATATTTAAAAACAGGTTAGATAGACATCTGTCAGGGATAGTGTAGACGGAGCTTGGTCCTGCCTTGAGGGCGGGGGGCTGGACTCGATGACCTCTCGCGGCCACTGGGAACACGCTCCCAGGCAGGGTGAGCATTGAAAGACGCAAGCAGATAGACTGGCTGGAACAGGCGAGACAGGGTGTTGGTGTTTCTAGTCCCCAGCGAGAAGGGGCCAGGAGCACCGGGACATTGTGGGACATGTTTTGTATTCATGTCTGTCAGTGTGAAAGAATCTATTTGCATATATTTGCAAGTATATGCAACCACACTTAAGTTGTGGCCCTCGGCATGTGCTGTGAGTATCATTGTGGGCCCTGGGGCTTCCACAGTTGAGTAGCCCTGGTCTAATTGATCATCATGAGTGAGGTAACCAGGGTGGGGATTTGTCTTCTCCTGCAGATCACATGCCAGGATTATCCAAGTATATCTCACTTAATTCCTTGCAATGCAGGGGATTCTGACATTGGTGCGCCTCACTTTTTCCTATTTCTGCCTGCGGCCTATTACTCTTCTGTGGCTGTAATATTTTGGTCTAGTTTTGATTGTTGCATGTAGTTTTTGCCTGCTAGATGGGTTAGTGACTTATGACATACAGGAGGACAGACTAGATGGATCTGGTAGTCTGTTCTGGCCTTAAACTCTATGACTTTGATCTGCCTACAGGCTGCATCATTCACTTCTCTGCCTCATTGGAAGGGATTGAAATTAATTTCCTTTGAAGGTGCCTGTCAATACGACCTCCATATAACACCACAAAATTCAATTCAGCGGCATGAATAATGTGCTTACTCGCAGTTTACAGGACACAAAGAGACAGTACATACAGTATACTGGACCCCTAGAAGAGAGACACAGAACACCCCTTCAAGTGGCAATTTGTCGATACTATGATACAATACCAGAAAGAAAAACCTTAGTACTCCCAAACCTTGGTCTGTCTTTAATTTTCAGAGCATTAAGCACAAACACTTATCCATTAAGAATGTGCTATTAACTTAAAGACTAGTTCATGTAGCCTTTTACAAGAGGGTATCGTAATCACAATAGGAAAGCATCATTAGCATTCCATCAAATTTTGATGTGCCAGACCCGAGACATCAAAATACAGAGTAGCTTTAAAAACAACAAATTGTCTGGTAGCACTTTATAAAAGTTATACCAGACTATTTGTTGTTTTTTCTGTACAGACTAACTCGGCTACCCCGATAGTAGCTTTAGTTTAAGATTGGACTGTCTTCAAAAGAAACCTATGTGCAAAGATTACATTTTCCTTCTTTACTAGTATTGTTTTAAAATTAATATATGCCAGAGTGCACCTGAACAAACAATTCTTTGGTATCAATTTCACTACACCTGGGTCTCTAAAGAGTCCAGAGAACACCTTTCACAGAACTTAAAGAAGTCACCATTTTAGTTCCTTTGTACAACCACAGCCCCTGAACGAGTGCATTAAATTAGGAGACCCACAATTTTTAGGGACAAATACATATTTCATGAGGCATAAAGTTGAACAGGCTAATTATAACTTCTTGCAAATCTACATTTTGTCATCAGCATTCATGAGGAATACAAACTCTGCTGGTGGAATCGATAAACTTTCATGAAGTCCCAAATGTGATTATAGTTCACATGAGAAAAACCAACAAACAAAAATATGTAATCACTCACTGAAATAAATTGTGTCTGAAAACTGGTAGGTAGCAAACATTGTACCTATAAGGTTGATCCTGAGAAACACAGTGCAGTAAGGGGGGAGGGATAGCTCAGTGGTTTGAGCATTGGCCTGCTAAACCCAGAGTTGTGAGTTCAATCCTTGCAAAGGCCATTTAGGGATTTGGGACAAAAATTCATCAGGGATGGTACTTGGTCCTGCTGTGAAGGCAGGGGACTGGACTCGATGACCTTGCAAGGTCCCTTCCAGTTCTAGGAGACAGGCAATCTCCATTACTAAAGTCTCACTTACCGAAGATCCATTGAAATGATAATTAAAAATGGGATAAGATGACACCTAAACAAACACAGTATGATACAAAAAAGCCAGAATGCTTTTCAAACAAATAAGTGACAATGAGAGAGCCTCTGTCCCTGTATTCAACAACTTACAGGAGATAGAAAAGCCCTGCAGATGGCCAAGAGTGAATTTCCCCTGTGCAGGATCACCACTATTCTAACTGCCACCTCTGGATACGACAGTTTCCCATTCTCATACAAAGAAGGTATGTTTTGAAAAAGAAGAGTAGAGGTATAGCAGGTAAGATGTAATACAGAAGGCATCTAATATTTACAAACCTGGTATTGCTTCATTGACTGTAGAAAGAAATCTCTCAAAGTGGCATAATCTACATGCAATTAATTACAGCAGGTTTTATTGGCAATGGGGCAGAGTGTAGCCGTAACCTTCTCCATCAGTAAAAATTACTCACATTCTCCCTACACCTTCATACATGCGAGTCTCATCCACCAGAGTCATAATCTCCGCATCCGTGAGGTGTGCGTGCTTTTTTGTCCTGTTGAGTTGTTCAATTTGTATATCTGCCAGCTTCACCTTTTGCTGCGTGTCGATAACTTTGGCCTGCAGTTCAGTAAAAGCCTAATGGGGGGAACTTGGGAAAGGATGCTCTCGAGCACTATGGCCATAGCACGTTGGGCTGCTGTTTCCGTTTGGAGCAGCAGGGGCTTGCAAGGGAAGGGCCCCCAGAGATATGGGCCAAGGCCAGGGCCAGGGCCAGGGCCCCCCCCAGCGACACGGGCCAGGGCCAGGGCCCCCCCCCGCGACAC